TGAAACGTCCAAGGAACCCAATACACCTTGAAGCCCAATCGAGCCGGTGACCAATGCCACAAGCAGGAAGATGTGTGTGTGGTTCGTACGCCTCCTCTTGGTTGGTTCGGAATCAGGGTTTTTGGCGAACTCCTCTAGTTTAACCACCAGTGGTTCACGAACTTGGTTATAGCCGCGGTTGTCGGCTTTTCGTTCTTTCACTTTGGTGCAAAAACACCTCCGCCACGAGAAGGCAATGAGTAGGAATTCGTCAGCAGATGCTGTTTGAGACGCTTGGTCGTATGGGAGCATTGCGCGAGGTGTAAGGGACGGGTGACCAGCCGCAACCGTTGACACCCACTCCCGACTATACTGAGGATTTCGGAGAACCTTCTATATATATAAGATGTTTGCCGAATCCTTGATCTCATTCACGAATTCTTTAACACAGAACTGACTCACTCCCTGGTACCCATGCACTTTACAAGAGCTATAAGCTGATCCATGTTTCTGACTAACGGAATTTCCAGGAGACTTGTCGATGTAGGTCGCGTTAGACTTCCCGAATGGAGCCTTTGGAATCATGGTACCGGCGGTTAGAGACATTGAGTGAGTATCGTAAACAGTAATGCTCGTGCATCTACTCCGTATGCTCGCAATCTCGCCTCTACGAATTCTCTTTTCTCCCTCTCACACCTATTTTTCCATTCCAAGCTTCCCTTCACTCCCTCATCCAACTGGGAAGCCATGAGACAGCACCCAAAACCGACACATGAAACTGCATGATTAATGATTGTGAAAACGGAAGCTGAACACGAACATCGGAATATTATCCCGATAAGTGCTTCAGGCCTTTCAATCCCGGTTCCAGATGAGACCCCTCCCCAAAATTATTTCACAAGATAGATACTTGAGAATCTAGGCTCACATAGAATAATCGAAGTATTTATATGAAAAGTGAACTAGTTCAGTTCAGTTCAGTTTTAACAACCAATAACCATGTACTTTTTTGCCCTGGTTTTTTTGCTGTCTTTTGGTGTCCCGTTTGTATGAAGATTGGAATGTTGAAAGTAAATTCAAGCGGAAGATGGAAAATTCATATAGGATGGTGTTAGGGAAATAATGAATTGATGCACAAGCGCTACTGTTTGCAACATCCAGCCATATCACACTCAGTGTCTCTAACCACCGGTGACCATCATCCCGAGGTCCCCAGCCAGATACTCATTTGAAACGTGGACGAAGTGCGCAACGGTTTGATGAAGTAGTACCAGCACCAGCGCGATCGTTAATGTAAGTGCTGCTGCGTCCCTCGTGTCTGTAATTTGAATCAAAATTTATCGAGAAGTTCATTTATTCGGCCTATTTCATTCTCAGTGTTTTGCCTGTAGCCAAGTTTCTGTGAAAAAATCGTNAAATCGTATCCAGTTGATAATTGCGCATGTCTCCAAAAAAGTGCTGACGTTGCAGCTGGCGAGTGATTGGAGGTTCACGTGATGGTTGTTCTTCCGACCCTATGGTCTAGGGTTCGAACCCTATCACAACCGTCACCCGACTCAGGTGTTATGCAGCTTTTCTATCGTCTGGTTCAATATCTGCGGGATTTGGATTACCGGTTTCTGTGACCGGACAGCAAGTCTTTCCGTGACTATGGGGGTCCACTCGGTTTGCTCGCTGTTCATCACAGAACTCGGTGTTGAAAAACTCTGAAGCACGGTCGGATTCAAAAGCCCTGTCGACAAAGCAAAGCAGATTAGAAGTGGCTGGTTATCATTACTTTGATCAATAAATAATTTAATCTGTTTGAAGCAAATGCATTGTGAGATTGTGCTTACCATTTTCTTTTCTTTGTTCCACCTATGATTCCGCTATTTTTGTCCACTATCGTGCACTATCGTGCTCTTGTTGCAAAGCTCATGTCTTCAAGTGTAAATCTCATTGATGTCAAAAGTGTGTTTGCTTCTGGAAATTGGTTTATTATTCACATGGATCATGCAAGCATGGTCTGATTGTGGTGCACACAGGCTCTCACTCACGTGCACCTACTCCTACTGTAGGTGTTCAATCGTGATCAATTACCCTTCACCATGATTGAATTCGATCGATCAACCTCCAATCAGATATCTGTCTGCCTGTCTCTCTGTCATGCTATCTGTGCAACTGTCACTCTTGGCACCCGATTGGTGAAAATTTTTCAAAAATCGTTTTTTCATCTGGGGCACATTTCCATATGTCGGGCAATCATTGGTTGTCTTACAGAGAATCCAACGTAGAGTTGTCTCCAAGACAGTTTTATACATCAAAACAAACGATGCTTTTTCTTCAAAGACACAAGTGTATTTTTTATACCGAACCCCTTCATCATGGCGTATCACATACTCAAACCCAAGCGCCTATCTGCATCGATCAAGTTGCACATGTGGTTTGCTAGTTGTTTGGCTGGCTGATTAATCGGGTTCTGAATGGACAGGTGTGTGTGTGTGTGTGCGTTTGTACACATTGTACATTGGTTTCCTCCTCCCACACGCGTGCACACGTGCAAACGTGGTTTTCACCAATCGACGACGTTCATCAATCACAGATTGTCTTTTGCACCCGTGATTATGATATTGTGAGGTCCACCTTTTCGTTGGTACAACGATAATAATAATGAGCCGACTACATCATCGAGTCGGTCGTACTAGGCGACTGGATAAGCCGATAGTTCATCGTCTGCGTGAATCAGTCATTCTCTCCCCCGTGCCTGAATGGGCCAAATCCGCCACCGTAAGTATCATTGTGGTTTTTTGTGGTCTTTGGTTTAGATTTGAAGTTTTTTGTGCAAAAGCTATTTCACAGCCCAATTTGTTGAGAGAAACGGCACAGTCATAAGGTCGTACCGTTCGATGAAGAGTCCCGATGATTCAAACACTCGGACCCTTTTTCTCTGTTTGGTTATCAGATGTAATACTGAGTCAGATATTAAGGAAGCTGCCTACCCGTAAATTTGATTGTTTGTGCATTAGGTCTGCACTGGGATTTGTTTGTTACACAATCTGGGCTCTCACACCTCTGTGGAGCGTGTGCGCACTTCCATTCTGACGGCTGTGTTTGAGTCTAATGACCACAAAATAGGGTTTTTGGCCGATCGACTCTTAAGTTTAGAGAACTGTGGTGATCCTGGCGTACGAGATTACGCATACCACGGGACGACACGTTACAGTTTTCGGACAACTGTAGTACATCACGCTTTCCCGGGTGACGTCAGCACAGCGCGTACATGTCACAGCTAATCTACACACCACAGGTTAATTGTAACAGCCAATCAGGAACCGTGCGGCCCAAACAGAAGCTGAACAACGCCAGAAATACTACAGCGCGATCGGCAGAGGCTTGGATGATCAATGAACTTGTTTTGTCCATATTATTTAATCCCCCTAATTTCGTTCAGTAAACGAACTCTGGGTTACGTGGGATATTGCGTGCAAGTACCGGTGTTGCCCAGTGCTTACGCTTCGTCCGTGATTCGTATTTCATGTTGCATACAGAGCTGTTTGTTTCTCGGTGCATCTTCTAGGCGTGGTTTCTAGCTCTGAATAAAATGAGTTCAGGATCACTGAATGAACTGCCGCCCATGATCGCTTTGTGGCTCAATGATATCCCATGAGAGTTTGACGAAAGCAGTGGGGTGGGTGGCGCAATGGTTTAGTCGCTGTCACAGGCGTGCTTTGGACCCTACTTGTCCGAGGTTCGAGCCCCGCNCTTTGGTGGTAGGCAACTTCGCTGTCGTCTGGTTCAATAGCACGCCTAAACCTATCGGGACCTTGTTTGGTTCACCACTCCAAGTCCCGGGGCTTAAGTTATCCGTTTCCATGACGGAGCAGCAGGGCATTGTGACTATGGGGTTTACCCCGTTTGCTCTTCATCACACGAAAGTATGTAATAAAAAAATATGTGCTTTGTCACTAATCCGATCATCGCCCATCCCCCATCCCTTATCTCATTCCATCTATTCGACGGATGAGGCAACTGAACCAAATTTCGGGCCGCCGGCTGATCTGGAACAATCCTACTTTGCTATCCTTCGATCGATTTGCAGTGGTTTAAGATGCATCCTTGAACATGAATTTTAATGTTATTAACAAATCTCTCTGGAATATTGTGATACCCATGGTACCAACCTTATTCTCTAACATTTGTAGTAATACAGAAGAATAAACGAAGGCTAAATAGGATGTGTGTAGTACTGAATCGAACAACCGAAAAGCAACTTATCACCAAAGTTACGTGGTGATGACAAGGTTTGCACATCTGACCTCAAAGATCGGTTTGCGCTAGCGGCACGATGCTGCTGCCAATGAGTGGCAGTGACCTAAACTAGCGGACTACCATTACCCTAAAGGTTAACAGTATCAAGCACAAATTGACTGGAGATGGAATACAGGTCAGGTGCTTGCTATTGCCTAATGACATGCAGTCGTTTTTTGACTGATCACCTCCGTGTATCCTCATTTCGCGGTTTAGCATGTGATCTCTGTTGGCCCATTTGTTTGACTGCTTTGTTGTCTTTATCGGAGTTTTAATTAGTGTTCGATTTCCACAGAATTCATTGCTTACGAAACGAACTGGGTGAGAATTTGTTCTGAAATTTCCAGACAGATGAAGCGTTTGATTTGAGAACAATATTAAATTTGGTTCCTCCTCTCTTGGCTGTTCTTTTTCCGAAATCCAAGATTTTCTCAGTTTATTTAATACTCTGCTTTTCCTACGGTTTTTTACGTCTCAATGAATGGTGCCGACATGTATTGGGACTACAGATTTACGGATATACGAACTGTTTTCTACTCAGGCTATTTTACGTTTTTTTTGTATTCAGTTCCCGTTCGTTGAGATTGCATTGATGCCTGTATTACCAAACGTTTGTTGTTTTTTTTGTACCAGACACTTTATTGAAACGTTAAACGCGCTGGGGTAGCGATGACGTCGTAAGACACTTCATGAAGTAAATTAATTTTAGGTTTGGTCTAAGTTCTTCCGGACCTTGCAGTGAGGTAAAACTTCGTTCCAGTCAATGTTCACCGTATTGAATTCACTAAGGCTCAGACAAGTTGCGGCCATATCACACAGTGTTGCTAATCATCGATCCAGGGAGCCTAACGCAACCTATTCGATTGATTCCCTTGGTCAGGGTTTTCATAGCCTATTATTTATTATCAGATTTCACACTCGTCTGAGGACAGACTGTGTGTGCCAAACAAATAATGGTATAGTAATCTTTATAGGAAAGAAAAACGTCGCACGATTTCCTCGTGAGCACGATACTGTCAGGTTGCCCAGGTCAAGACAGGTGAATTCTCTCGAGGAATCCACAACCGTAGCCTTCGGCTAGCAAAAGCTTAACCAGCAAGGCAGCGAGTCGGTGTGTGTGGAAACCGCAATCCATTTTTGGGCCGGTGTCCAATTCATCGGATTATACACCCTTTGGATGGGTCAAGTGTCTAAGGTACCAAATACCCCTCGCTATCCATATAAGCCGGTGACCACTGTCACAACCGAGAATGTGTGTGTGGTTCTTACGCCTCCTCTTGGCTGGTTTGGAATCAGGGGTTTTGGCGAACTCTAGGTGAACTACCAGTGGCCCAGCAATTTGGTTATAGCCCCGGCTGTCGGCTCTTCATCTTCTCACTTTGTTGGCAAAACACCTCCACCCCACAAGAAGTCAGTGAGTATGGTTCCCTCAGCAGAGACTATTTGGGACGCTTGTTCGTACGGAATCATTTGGCGAGGTGCAAGGGAGGGGGTCTAGCCACAACGCTAGACATCCATCCCCGACCATACTGAGGATGTCAGAGGCGTTTTCATACCCCGGTCTTAGTTTGATCACCCTTCACTGGCATCAAGCAAGCAGGTCTAAGGCGTGTGATTAGATATGTTTACATCGTTTAAACAGTCGTTAGCCCTACGGAATAATGCTTTATTTACCGTTGTTTTTCCTGACAGTTTAGATGAGAAACCGTAGACGCTAATTTGAGTATGATAAAATCAAGATGAGTGAGGTTCCGGAGGTGATTTCTTATGCCAGCCTTGTGACATTTTGATTATTCTCTGAGAGGAATGGAACATTTAATCTGATTTAATGTGATGAATTCATCGTGTAAGTGAGGCGTGAGCTGAAATCCAGGAAGCACAACTGGACGGCTGTGAAGACCTGATTGCGGGTCTTACCATCCGAGTGTGAATTTATCAGCATGGGATCGCCAGCCCGGGACCCCATTTCAGATAGAACGCATCCGTGCTACCCATTTGGCCATCCCGGGGCAGCTGATCGGACCGTAGATTGACAACTAAACAAAGTTTGTATCGTCCTTATCTGTCATCATCAATCCCAATCATTTCATAGCATAAATACTGTTTTTGAGAGTTATTTTATTCCATGTACCATGGTCGAATCGCTTGGTGCATCATAGATGATGAATCTGGTCTTTTTCATTGCACTTTTTTTCATTACACACCTAAGTGTTGACGGGGCGAACCCCATGGTGACGAGGACCTGCTGTTCAGTGGTGGAGACCGGTAACCCAAACCCCGGAATCTGAGGGGCGAACCACATAAGACCCCGATAGGTTAGGCATGAGGTAGTGAGCCGGACGACAGCGCAGCTGCCTACCACCAGAGTCGGGTGATGGTGCAGGGGCTCGAACCTCAGACTATAGGGTCCAAAGAACACCGGTGACAGCGATGAAACCACTGCACCACCACCACCAACCACATCCATGATCTTAGTTTCGGAATTGCTGGTCTTAGAAACCTATACTTCATGTCATTTCGCCGCACACTTTGAGTGCATCTTTTTGTGTACTTTGGATCGACACATGAGTACATTTGCTTCGATCCCCTGTTCTGAGAATTTTCAGTGTCCTTTCTTTTTTTGCACTTGCGTTTACGAAATTCTACTTGTCTTTCAGAGGTTGTTGTTTACCTAAACGAGAGATCGATCTCTCTCTCTCTCTCTGTGTGTGTGTGTGTATGATCATAATTTCATGTGAACGAGTTTCCGTGCGTGATGAGGTACCACTGTTTTTTTGTTTGATTGAGATACCAAGTCATGTGATTGGCCCAGAAGATGACAAAATTTGTGAGAAAATATAACTTGTTGTTTAATAACTCGTCACATCTTGTCTAGACCTTGTCCACTTTGTGCGTGTGTGTTGATGTCGTTTAATTTGTGTCGAGAACCGGCAACGAAGAGTGGGCATGTAAACAAAAAGGGGTTCTTTTTTGATCTATTGCGATATGTGGTTCGGTAGAGAATGGGTAAATCAACGTTCCTTTCCCGCTGCCTTGCGGGCCAGACTTCGGCTAGCCGAAGGCTACGGTTGTGGATTCCTTGAGAGAATTAACCTGTCTTGACCTGGGCAACCTGACAGTATCGTGCTCACGAGGAAATCGTGCGACGTTTTTCTTTCCTATAAAGATTACTATACCATTATTTGTTTGGCACACACAGTCCGTCCTCAGATGAGTATGAAATATATTAACAGTAATAATATCCTTCCCTTCCTTCTCTCCCACACACTTTTTCGCGTATGTGAATACAGTGTAATTGATTTCGTTCTTCATGTGTACATAGACTAAAACGTCCATTGCCCCGACTATTTGATCCAATCAGGTCTTCCGGTAACCAACCGGATTATGGTAGTCCTCGTTAAGTTTCTTTCTGTTAAACAATAAAAACATACATACGGGTCTGATTATCATTTCTGCGTCCTCCTGGTTGTGATTTCTATTTGGCTCCACTGGTATTGATTTTCGGTAAAACACCGTGAATGGATCCAGGCATCATCTGATCATTCTACAACTGCTACTACTACTACTACTCTAGACTTCTGCTTTGACAGTTCAGCTCCTGAGGCCTTTTGTTCCTCTCAGAGTTTGTTTTTCAATGAGTTTTTTTAGGAGCCCCTGTCTAAAATGTTATGGTAAATTTGGATGGTTTAAACGAACAATGGATAATAACCAGCGCAATTTAAATATCCATTGTTATGTTTTTACGGTAATAAATAATAATTGTTCTCTGAACTCAGTTATATCCCATCAGAATGAAAGTAAAATAATGTCAATTATTGACTCAGAAATCTCAGAAACCAATCATCCCAGAGGTAACTCTCGGCGATAATCATGGAGTATTTTAAAACGACTCATCACACACTGGAGTCACAAAATTTTTCCTTTTCCATCGAAAGAACCCGGAACTTCAACAGGAGCTCGAACGATGTTTGAAACTGCGCGATGGGGCGTCACGAATTCTACCACTCACTCAGAATCGATTGCAACAATTGGACGCGATCAAGACGCTTTTTGTCACAAACGAACAGGTACTACTGTGTCTTCAGCGAGTACAACGCGAGAAAGTGGAGGATGCGATCTCAGCCAATCGAACCTCACCGAATATCACGCCCCCGCGCACTGATCTACCTCGTGAACCGATTCTTCGAACCCGGAATCATGCACAAGCGGGTGTGGCCAAATTATGTCTATCAGGTACGTATTCTTCGTGTCGTTTCGTTTCCTTGTTCTGAGCAAATCAATAACTGTGCACTCTTTCGCGGGTACCCCCGTCTTATAAGACGGGGGTACCAACCACTAGACTCACGAGTTTGAGGGTCTGTTGTCTTGTTCCTATGATCTGTCTGATCTAGTTGCATTGTTTTGTGTATTTTCGGTTCAACATAAGTGAAGTACATCAAATTGGAGCATCAAAGTAGTTAGATGATTAGTGCATCAGTTCAAAGGTGATCCGGGGGACGTTTCGACTCCTAGATCCTCCAAGTCACTCAGTACAGAAATCATACTAACCTCGCGAAAGATTGCTGAATGAACACAACGAATATGGACAACTCTTGGTTGTAGCTGTGTGGTTCAGGGTGATGACACTCGCTTTGGATACTGGATACCGAGGTTAGGCGCAGAGTTTTAGACAACTGCGGTGGCCCACTAGAGCAAATAGTCGACCTCCATAGATTACGTTGGTTGGAGCATGTGTTACGGAAGTCACCAAATAGGTTAGCACTGCGAGCGATGTTCGCCGAGGCAGGTAGTGGATGGAATAAAGCCAAGGGTGGTCAAACCCAGACCCAGCAAAAAGGTATGAAGACCTTACCCAGGAGACTCGGTCACATAGGTCTCGTTAAGCTCCCTGGATGGGAACCTTGCGATGTTCGTGACCAGTGTTTAGAGACATTGAGTTATATAGCTGAGTGTCGTAAACAGTGGCGTTCGTGCATCTTCTCAATTTCTTTGCAACATCAGTCCACTGAAATTCTCAATTTTCTAATCGACTCTGCTTTTAACTTTCATGTATTTCCTATACTATTCATCCAAACGGGCAGCCAACAGACAGCAACCAAAACCTGGGCACGAAAGTGCATGGTTAATGGTTGTACCAACTGAGCCTTCCGTTTCTGGAGCTGAAATCGGTCTACCAAAATGAGTAAACCTGTGCTCGATGTGATTTCTTCGTGTCGTTTAGTAGTTATGACCAAACCGGAGCATCTTGTTCGGATAAGACACCATTTTAAGTGTCAGCTTTTAGAACGATTTCTACAATGTACATGCTGGCCTGAAAAACAACACGTAAGTAGTTCCCTTGAGCAAAAGGATTTACCATTTGAAATTCCCAAATAAGGCAACTGGAACAGTGGCACACATGTTCGAAGGCGAACAATTTTTCTCAAATTATTCATAATCGTGCTTGTACAGATCGTTTACGGGTGTTTTGTTAGTGGCCTGAAAATGTGTCCTCACCGATAACAAATCCTCATACGATCTGTACAGGTACGTTTATGTATCATTCGGAAACAATTGTTCGCCTTCTTATTCGTGTTCTAATTTACTGTTTGGTTGAGGCAACCGGTAACCTGGAGGTTGCGTAAGGCCTCAACGAGGCATTGTGTTTTTCCAGACAACAGAATCCTTTGCTGCGTGTTCGATTATCCTGTTGATAAACCACGATCGTATCAAACCCATAAGTGAAATCAAAACCTAATTAAGGTTTAACAGTTTAGATAAATGGTTTTCGCGATCACTTTCTCATACAAATCTTTGGTTTCATCAACATTTCGATCGGTTGGCACCTCTCCGGATATCTGCGAGGAGGCCCTCACAGCCCTCTGTTGTGGATGCACTCATTCTGTGTTTGTGCATATTGAATGCCTCTCAGAAACTTGATGTATCATCATCACTACCAGCTAGTGTTGCTGGTGTTGGGATTGCGCTAAGTGCCAAGGTAGAGCGCTCGCTTCTTGACCGGATTCCAATCAGTAGCCGATTATGTGCTGTACGTTTTAACGGTTCAGCACATGTTAGCAGCTACAGAATGAAGCGTCGATGCTTGTTCGTCGTATCGGTGTATGAACCGACCGATTGCAATATACCTGAAATCAAGGATGAATTCTACAAGGACCTTTCTCGATTACTCCAAAGCGCTCGATTAACGGACGTCGTAGTAGTCACCGGTGACTTCAATGCTCAAGTGGTATCCCTGGACGAATCAGAAAGGCTACTTGGGGGACCACATGCAATCCCAGCCAACCGGACGGACAACGGCGATCGCCTACTTCAACTCTGGGCAGAACATGGATTGTTCTTGTCAAACACAAACTTCTCATAGAAGAAACGTCATCGTCTTACATGGAAACCGCCAACGTCTTCATAACGCTTGACCCAGATGGAACACATCGCCATCAGTTACTTCTGGAGGGGATCAATTCAACACTGCCGCTCTCATTGGTCAACAGCTGTGGATACAGACCACGCGTTGTTACGAGCCAAATTCTCTTTACGCCTGGCAAACAACCAAAAAGAAGCCACCGACAACGGATACCCAGGATACAGCGTCCGCGATGGCTGCAAATCGGCCTTCAAAACGGAGCTCCCTGATCGCCTGTCAGTTTAACCACCAGTCGAAGGACTCAATGAACACTGGAAGCAAATCAATGAAGCTGTGCAGATATCAATAAAGAACGTCGGACCCTGGCGCAGGCTGAAAACACAAACGATGAATCTCGTTGACCTCGGCTGCCCTGCTGGACGCCTGCAGAATCCTGCCACAAATGACAGCACGCAAATCCCCTAAACGCCGGCTCATCATGAGTGTGAGGAATGACCGCTAGAAGTGGTGAGTAGAGAAGTGTAGAGAGATGGAGAAGTCTGCGGCTATCGGCAACAGTCGCAATCTTTTCCGTCTAATTAAGAATGCAGGCCATAGGAAAGTAGGCATGAGTGAGGTAATTAAGGAATCTGATTGCACACTGACTCACTGTCAGCAACACCGTCTTGATCGATGGGCTGAACACTTCAAGGTTCAGTTCAACTGCCCCCCCCATCGACATCTGATCTTTCACCCTCCACCTTGACTGGCCAAATACTGCCAGTTGATGCTAGTCTTCCATCTGAACTGGAGGTTGCCTGAGATATAAGTTATCTCAAAAGGCATAAGGCTTTCGGCCTCGACGGGCTGTCCCCATCGGCTTTTAAGGATGGAGGTTCAGGCTTGGTTTTGGGCTCAGTGTGAGAGAGAGAACTGGTTCCAACTGGATGGTGTGAATCATTCCGATTTTCAAGAAAAGCGACAGGTCCTCTTGTGAAAACCACAGAGGAATTAGTTTAATCAACATTGCCTCTAAACTTCCCACCGGCATCATACTCCGACGATTGTCTGCCACTCGTAAAGAGTGCAAACATGAAAACCAGGCTGTTTTTAGACCCAGTCCTGATTGTATCGACCACATCTCCACTCTTCGCCGAATTCTGGAGCATCGACATTCCTTTCGTAGACCCACCATCTCTGTTTTTCTGGATCAAGAGGCTTTCGACACAGTTGACCGCTGTAAACTCTGGCGCTACCTTTCCATGAAGGATGTGCCCGAGAAGTTTATTTCAATATTACAATCCCTCTATAATGTTAGCCGAAGCCGAGTCCGGGCTTACGGTACTTTTTCGTCCGAGTTCACCTCGGAAAGTGGTGTTCGTCAGGGTTGCCCTCTTCCTCCTTTTCTATTCAACTTTGTTATAGATCTGATTATGGAAACAGCCCTATCCTCGTGCGAGGATAGTGGCATAGATTTACTTCCAAGTGGCAGGCTGTCTGATCTGGAGTACGCAGTCGACATTGTGCTACTAACTGAAGATCCAGGTAAGTTGCAAGCATTTCTGGATGAGTTGAATGCCAGTGTAGCCATATTCGGTATGCGTTTTGCACCTTCAAAGTGCAAAATGTTACTACAAGACTGGGTTGGTCCAGCACCCAGCCTCACTGTAACTGGAGAAGTAATAGAGCAAGTGGATAAGCTTTTTTATTCGGGCAGCTACATCTCACCCGGTGGACGCATCACAGAGGAAGTGTCGCCGCGCATACAAAAAGCTCAGTTGGCATTTACCATCTGGCATTGGCATTTGAGACATCTGTGGCGTCATCGCGACCTCCGGTTGTTTGTGACGGGTCCAATGTATGCCGCGGTAGTTCGGCCAATTCTGGTATGTGGAGTAGAAACTTGACCATTAAGAAAACAGGACAAAGATAGACTATCGGTGTTTGAATACCGCTATCTATGCAGCATTCCACGAATCTGGTGGAGCATTGCTGATGTTAGGTGCAGAGTTCTGGGTATCCGCGGTCGCCAACTGGAGCAAGTGGTCGACCTCCATAGAATACATTGGTTAAGGGCATGTGTTACGCATGTCACCTAATAGGTTACCACGTCGAGCGATGTTCGCCGAGGCAAGTAGTGGGTGGAAGAAAGTCGAGAGCGGTCAAGTTGAAGCCTGGCATGAGGATATGAAAATCNTACCACGGCGAGCGATGTTCGCCGAGGCAAGTAGTGGGTGGAAGAAAGTCGAGAGCGGTCAAGTTGAAGCCTGGCATGAGGATATGAAAATCCGACCAGGAATCTGGGTCACGTAGATCTCGTTAGGCTCCCTTGCTGGGGACCTCGGGATGATCGTGCCTGATGGTTAGAGACACTGAATGATATGACTGGGTATCTTGCATCTTCTCAATTTGTTTTCAATCTTAGACCACTGATCTTTTCCGTTTTCTGTTCGGCTCTACCTCAGACTTTCCTGTCTCTTCCTATTTGTCATCTAAATATGCATCTAAAAGACAGCAACCAAAACCGTTGGTTAGAGACGCTGAGATAAATGGCCCGGTATAGAAGTCAGTGGCGCGAATGCTACGTGGTCTGCCTGTTGACATTTCGTGCCCCATAAAAAACGATAAATTTCCAAAGAATCTCGAAAAATTCACGGTGTGACACAATAGATTTTTGTTATTCCTGTTATCCAATGTTTTCAATTGTAAGTGTTCAACCTTCTTTACTTTGCGATCTGTATCCCAATCCACCCACCTCCTGTTTCTGTTATTTTTGTGAAGTTGGCAACATGTTTGTCTGCAAACCGGCGATGATACATACATACATACATACATACATACATACATACATACATACATACATACATACATACACATACATACATACATACATACATACATACATACATACATACATACATACATACATACATATATATATATATATATATATATATATTACAACAATATTTCGACGGTAGAGTCGGTGGTGGTGGTAATGCAGTGGTCTGGCAGCTATCCATGGCATGCTCTGAACCCTATGGTTTGCTGGTCGAGCCCTGCCACCGCCACTCTGCTTTGAAGATTGGCAGCTTTGCTTTCGTTCAGTTCAATACAACCCCTAACCTGGCGCTGGGCCTTATGTGGTTCACCACCAAGTCCCGCGGGGTTTCGATTACCGATTTCCATCATCCCGATCATGGAATCGACTCCATCTAAACTTCATCATACAAAAATGCG